CAAGCATAGTGTGTGGGATCAGTAATTTTTCAGAGGGTGATGCAGTGCCTTAATTCAAAACTAGCATAGTGTGTGGGATCAGTAATTATTCAGTGGGTGATGCAGTGCCTTGATTCAAAACTAGCATAGTGTGTGGGATCAGTAATTATTCAGTGGGTGATGCAATGCCTTGATCCAAAACTAGCATAGTGTGTGGGATCAGTAATTATTCAGTGGGTGATGCAGTGCCTTGATTCAAAACTAGCATATTGTGTTGGATCAGTAATTATTCAGTAGGTCATGCAGTGATTTGATTCAAAACTAGCATAGTGTGTGGGATCAGTAATTATTCAGTGGGTGATGCAGTGCCTTGATTCAAAACTAGCATAGTGTGTGGGATCAGTAATTATTCAGTGGGTGATGCAATGCCTTGATTCAAAACTATCATAGTGTGTGGGATCAGTAATTATTCAGTAGGTGATGCAGTGCCTTGATTCAAAACTAGCATAGTGTGTGGGATCAGTAATTATTCAGTAGGCGATGCAGTGCCTTGATTCAAAACTAGCATAGTGTGTGGGATCAGTAATTATTCAGTGGGTGATGCAGTGCCTTGGTTAAAACTAACATAGTGTGCGGGATCAGTAATTATTCAGTGGGTGATACAGTGCCTTGATTCAAAACTAGCATAGTGTGTGGGATCAGTAATTATTCAGTGGGTGATGCAGTGCCTTGATTCAAAACTAGCATAGTGTGTGGGATCAGTAATTATTCAGTGGGTGATGCAGTGCCTTGATTGTTGCTTTCCCAGTACATGCAATAGTGAATGCTTGGTAGCAAAATGTGGATGTTATCGGTGTTTAATTTCTCCCATTCAACATTTCACAAAAACTCTGTTACTATGTTATCTTGACCATGATGAAACTTTGTCATGACTGTATGCCTTACCACTTGTTGTAGTTGTAATTCAATTTTCCTAAGCTTGCTACAAAACATTACAATATATGGATACATTATAGCCATTTTAAAACAACCTGTTGCACAAATATTTGTTGTAAGTCCCTACATACAAATGTATGTTGTCTTGAAGACAACTCATGTACACATGTTCAAGTCATGTGATAGATGTGTAATCAAACTATTCCATGTACATCATAAAATTGATATATATATATATATATATATATATATATATGGGAACACAGTTCACATGACTAGTGTCTCTTTATTCCACATGCAAATATCTCGTATATATCTAGTAATATGAGGTACTGGGGTATTACAAGGATACTGAAAAGTATGCCTGATAACAGTACAACGGGAGTATTGACTGACACGCAACTGAGGTCAATGCGGCCGCGAGTGCATACTTTGCGGTATCATTGTAATAACCTTTTTATTATACTTTTTTCTTCCAAGGATACATCATCGGAATGCCGAAATCCCAAATATTTAGAACATATTTAGCAAACTTCTTTGTGTGGAGTCCAATCAAAACCTGGGGCTGCCATGTTTGTTTTTATTATTAGAAGTCGCTCCATATTTGGAATTTGCCTTTCCTAATGGTAGGATGAAATTACCCAGTGCAATACTGCAAAATTACGACATGCTGAAACTTATTGCATTACAGTGACAGATGTATAATAATTCTTTTTATGTGTTTGAAGGTCAATAAAGAAATAAAACGACTACTTGTGGCATCAGTTGGAGCTGATCTCTACCAGCAATTAGAAGATTTATCTCGGGATAAATTACGACTGGCCGAAGATTTAGAAAATACTATCAAGACATTGGCAGAGGAAAGGGAATCTGCTCAACAGCTAGGCATACAATGTGATGTGTGGAGAAGTAAATTTCTTGGAAGTCGGTATGATATTTTTTATTTATTTTTTATGAACTATCCGACATTATTAGTAAATCACCATTGGAATCATGCCTCTTGGATCCTATTTCAACAACACTATTTAAACATTGTCTTGGAAACGGGTACACAAACTCACTGATATAATTAACATCTCTCTACATCTTGGAATTTACCAGAGTTCATGAAAACTGCAATCATCACACCTTCATTGAAGAAACCGTCACTCAACAGCAACATACTTAAACATTACCGTCCTATTTCAAATCTACCATTCACTTCCAAGATCCTGTAGGAAGTCGTAGCGCTACAACATTTGTTCGGCAACTTAATGACTACTTCAGGCCTTGGGGAAACTCACCTCAAGGGAGAAGAGAGCACCCCCCTTCGCAACTGCTGAACCCATGGCCACATATCCCTGTCGTACACAGGTGTAGTCCGGTTTGGAGACAGCAGGTGACCGGTCCCTGGACCTTTCCAGGTGGTGACATCCTATTACTGGATACCGCTGAAACCTCCATCTCCTCTGTCAGTGTCTCTCCTATTGGGCACTGCCAGGGGACTCCCGCAAGGCGGAAGCAATCAGGCAGGAAGTAGCAATTAGCCATACACAGGGTAGATCAGCCGGCACTAAGTCCAGGCTTCTACCCAAATGTACCAAATCTACAGGTGACGGGCGTCCAGTTCTGGACCTAGGCAGGCTAAATCAGTACATGCTCCTCGATCGGTTCCACATGGAGACGCCATTTAGGGTTCTTCTCTCCATCCACCGTTTCGACTGGCTAGCCCCACTAGACTTAAGCGGGGCCTACCTGCACATACCTATGCACCCAGCGAGTTGCCATCTTTTTCGAATCGCCCAGCTGGGCCAAGTATTCGAATTTCGGGTGCCCCTCATTTGGGTTATGCACAGCGCCCTACATGTTCACCAGAGTGATGAAACAGGTAGTGCTGCTGCTTCACCAAATGTCAGTACACATCAATCCATACCTGCACGACTGGTTACTACACAACCCAGACAAGGGGTATTAGCCAAACACGTCAGGCTAACACAGGATTTACTTCACCAGTTGGGCTCTTTAGTAAATCGACAAGTCCCATCTGACCCAATGCGCAGTTGGTGTTCCTGGGCATGGAGTTACACAGAGGTAAGCTTGGTATAGCTATTTCAAGCGTGTTTCTTAGTGCTAAGCAGCATAGCTGAACGCCTAGTCAGCGTTCCCTCAGTGTCCCTCCGTGAACTAATGCAAATCATCGGAGTGATGACCTTGGTTCGAAGGGTGGTTCCCCAGGCTGCACTACGCAGCCGCCCGGTATAACGCTTGTTGTTTCAACGCAGAGCTCTCCTATTGGAACTAGATAGGCGGGTTTTGGTCTCGGACCAAGTGAAGGAAGCCCTGCCCTCGTGGTCGTCACTGGCCAACCTGGGACAGGGGGCCCCCTTGGACCAACTCGCCGCAGGTATGACTCTGGTAACAGATGCCTCACCCTAAGGTTGGGGAGCGCATCTATTGGACGAACAAGCCCAAGGATATGGCCCCCGCATTAGTTTCTGGACCACCATATCAACCGGCTCGAACTGAAAGCAGTATACTTAGCACTACCACGCTTTCTACCCGTAGTTCGAGATCGCTGAGTCCTGCTCCGCACAGGTAATGCAGCGGTGGTCTCCTTCAAGAAGGAGGGGGGACGCATTCCCCATCGTTGTCAGTCCTAGCGGAGCAAATCCTCCTTTGGTGCCTGGAATACAATGTGGAACTGACCGCACACCACCTTCCAGGGATGAGGAACAGTCTTTCCTCCCTTCTCGCTAGTTCAGAGCTGGGGGCATTGTCCTTCTCGGATGATGTACCGCCATTATGGACAATCAAGTTGTGCTAAAGACACGAATCTGGTTTCTCACCAAGAACCAAATCCCAGGACACGATCCTCACCCGATCGTCATCCCCCGGCAGTCAAAGGAGGAATTGCTTCTTTGTCCAGTTCGAGCACGGAGTTACTACCAAACCGTACTAAGGATTCTGGACGGGGTGCCAGGAACTTGTCTTTGTGTTGCGGCCCAGGCAGGCAGGATAGGCCGGCATCCCCAACTTCCATAACCAGGTAGTTTACTGCGACTGTATTAGAGGTCTATAATACATTTACTGCCTCCACACAGAGCTCACTAGTGAGTTAGCAATCGCACAGACCTCATGCACTTGTACTTAGTGTCTCTGAGATTGCTAACTCACTAGTGCTAGCGTCAGGCCCCCCCCCCCCTCGAGCACACATGGAGAATGCAGAACGTCTTCATCAACTACCACCTAAAAGACACCAAATCTATTGAGGAGGGTCTCTTTAGGTTGGGTCCCGTCGTGACGGTTCAGTCTTAGTTTGCTGACCCAGCCTGAATGACCACAAGGGTCCCTGTGCATAGACAATAAGTCAGTCTCGGCATTTTTTGCGGACAGCTTTTTCTACCATCAGCAATCCCTGAAAGCTCCCAGGTCCCGCTTTTCGACCTATGTCCTCATGCAGAACTATTTTGGTCTTTACTTTGAAAGCTTACTACCCCCAAAATCGGTTTGGGGTCTAGCTTTCTCGGGCACACCGATCCCTGTCACCGTAGCAGCATTTTGGCTACTTGCTCCGAGGACAGCACAGGCAAGGTAAGACACCACCCTTTTGGGTCTTAACTAGGGTGTTGAGTGATTATTGTAGAGTGTTTCGTCCCACACTGGGAAAAGACTTTCATCATTTTTCTGTTTGCTCGGAAAACCCGCCACCTATCGGCGTCTGCCTACAGTTCAAAATAGTCATTTTGTCTGACCGGAGTCTATGGTGGGTAATTGAACGTAGTGAATTTAGGCAGAGGGTTCTCTGAACCCGCCTATTCACATAGTTCATACCCACCATAGACTCTGGGCCCCCCAACCACCCCTCTTTCCGTAGCGTTGGTCTGAGTCCTCGAGGTGGCGCCGCCATATGGTCTCTGTCACGTGGTTATTGACGTAAGGGAAAAGAATCTTGGGGTCATGGGGCTTCCCCTGACCTAGATTCTATCTCTCCGTCATTGGCAGAATCACTAATAAATGCCTACAGTTTAAAATATTCATTTTGACTGACCGGACTAACAGCGCCATTGAACATTACCTTGTTTGGGATACTGGCGCTTTATAAATTATGTATTATTATTATTCTGTGTCTCACACACTCAGAATGAATGTACAGAATGATTTTAATTTGACTGTGTAACACATGTGAATTATCCATATATGTGATATATCAGCTAAGTTTAGAGTCAAAGGTATAAAACTGAATCTAATAACTATGAATACATGATGCTAGTTGCAGCTTCAAGTTGATTCAGTTACTCACTATTTATTGCAGAGTTCAACTTGATCAATTAATTGATTGGAAATCCAAGTCAAATATGATGTATGAAGAAGCAAAGTTGAGTATTAATAAGTTACTGAATGAAAGGGATGAAATTCGGACTCATATGATGGACACTAACAAGTAAGTCATCATGTCAAGCAATTACAATGTACCATAAGAATAACACAGTTGTTAAACTAGTGATGTAACACAAAGATTAAACTGAATCATCATGGCTATACCAATTCACAGATCATGCACTGTTTATGCAGTGTTCAGGTTTTCTCAAAATTGTGTACTGGACTCCAGGACAGATAACTTTCAAATTTCATCAGCCCTGCCAGTCATGCGTTAAAGATTATATTCAAGTTCTACGTAAACACAACAAGTCACAACAATTTTATTTAGCAGAAGGAGACACTAGCCATAATGGTCTGATGATGTCAGTGTGATCATCACATTCATCCTTGAAGTCTGATTTATATTCAGATTATCAGCTACTCAACTGTGTTTTCTACTACAGCACTAATGCCGAAACAAGCTCAATTTCTAATGACAGTACTATTTTTTTTTGCTTATCATTATCATTTCTGATGTATATGAGGGGAAAATGTCTGTCTTGGTGGTTGTTGTTGTTGTTATTTAACTTCATCTAATGTCAATTACAAGAACATGTACTGAATAAAATGATTGGTTGCAACCAACAGAAATCTTCAGTACTTGTCAGATGCTTTACAACGGAGTCACACATTATCTCATGATTCTACTGAACTGTGCAGTAATATTCTTACACTTGGACTCATCAATCATCAACTGTCTAGCACTATATCTCAGCATTTATTGGGGGATGTCAACCAGGGTAGTAAAAAGAACACAAGTAAGATACAAAGTCATCCAGTCTCAGCTAGTTGTACAAATTATATTGAATGGACACCAGCAGAGATGATGGCTAAAGATGTAAGTATTACAGTGATGGATATAAAAGTGAATTACTAAACATTCACACATTAATATGTAACAGACAATGCCTGATAAGCACATACAGGTTGATTTACTAAAATTAAATATGACACAACCATAGAAGATTGCAGTGAATATAGATATTGACATATATGAGTTAAAGCATGTTTCAGGATGGTGTCACCTGCCACACTTGGCACTGCTTGCAGGAAGCATTCAATTAGTGGCTTCACCAATCCATAAACATGTCCATTGAATCAGATGGTGCATCCTCCAACACCTTGCATAGGTTTAGTGAGAATACCCAAGTGGGTGTTCTCTGTTTATTACATTGTTTTTGTCCTAGCTTCAACAAGGTACAATAGGTACAACAATGTTTTGTATGTAAGTCCATCTATGGATTTCTAGTTTTAAGGTATAGTTTTAATAAATACACCGACCCACAATCCTATAATATAGCTCTCCAAGACTGCACATCGTAAAATCTAACTTATTGGCTGTTTACTAACAGTGACTGAAATTTGTCAAAATAGTTTACCAGACAACAGGGCAGATAACTTTAAAAACTTGCCTGCCCTGCCTTCTGAAAATTTACCAGCTCTGTTTATGTTTTCAATATTTTATTTACTTTCAATCATTTCAGTATACAGTAGAACGTCGATTATCCGAACGTAGATTATCCGAAATGTTCGGTTATCCGAACCTACTGTGTGTCCCCCAAAGTTTGTATGCATGTCTGGCTGTGTTCCGTATAATACAAAAGTCAACTGTGAACAATAAATACTACAGTCGCCTTGTGTGATTTCCTGGTGCAACACTTTCAATAAAGCTGTTATCAACATGTAATCCAACGTCTTTCACGTGTACGTTCATTGTTTACAGTGTCTGCGCAAACAATGAAACGAATTACAGTATCCAATAATTTCCTAAATTCAGACAAGCCTATTACGCC